ATTCAAGTAAGCAGTCGTAAATTAGTTTCAGTTTATGCCGATGTGGCCTGATAATCATTTTCTACAGTAACATGCATAAGATCGATAACAACTGCTAGCGGTCTATGTCGAAATCGCTCTACAAGAAATTTCATATACTGTTTCTCAGTGTGTCTGGCTTTTGGCCAGATCACCCCTCCCTCGCCCCTTAAGAATATCGGCCATGATAGCATTTAGGACTCTTTCAAATTCGGTGACCAGCTTCCCGTTAGACATGATTTTCAGAATTTGGGACGCCTATCATCGCAGTTCCTTCTACTACGTTCTGACATGCAGTTCCTCATGTTAGTTCTTTACGGTGGCGATACCGGCAATGAATTATACACTGCGCATTGCTTTATATCTTATAAATATGACTGATATGATATTCCCAGACTCACATTTATCTTTTATAGGCCAACGATAATCAAGAATGTGAAAATTAGGTGATTTGAAATCTTTTGGAGTTCATAACTCAATACCTAAGGTGTAATTAAATATTGTTCATGCTAAACTGGATGATACTTTTATGAAGTAGACCGGCCGAACATTCACAGAAACTAAATCCGTTTGATTACTTTAACTTCATGATCTAGCACTTAACCTTCGGTCTTTCGCGAAATGTATAGGTGATGCTTGAGTTTAATGAAGTAGCGTTTAAGCAAATGTGCGTTTCAGTCAGTCAGTCAGTCTGCCTGTCCGCCCGTCCGTCCGTCTATCCGTCCGTCCGTCTGTCCGTCCGTCTGTCTGTTTGTTTGTCTGTCTGTCTGTCTGTCTGTCTGTCAGTTGCCTATCCTGCCGCAGCGCTTAAATTTTGACAGAAGATAAGTTGGGACCAAAGTTCTTCTATACACTGGTCTCAGGTTATTCTTGGCTGACCCCAAGCCCTTCCGTTCCAAAAGCATTTACTATATGTGCCGAAACGTTCAGTGCTATAACTTCTCATCGTGTAGAAGTAGAATTTCTGAATCTGCTGCACAGAAGCGTTCATTGGGTGTCTGTGCTCCGGACGATGTCCAAATATGCAAGTCAAGGGATTCCTTCCAGGAATTCAATTTCTGCCGCCTATACTCGGAATAGATGATTTTCAGGCATGGATCATGACTCACGACCATAGATGAGCATGATGTCCCAGATTCTTGCAAAAAAATTTTCAGTCTTCAACAGCAAAGTAATAAAACTCTATTCTTTTATTTTTATGTAAAAGTATTTTAATAATTAACTTTTCAAGATGCCCTTACCTCAAATATTTTAAGTAACAGTTTTGCAATGT